TCCACATTTCTCCTTCTTTTATCCCTTTTTTGGAGTGTCGGTGTAAAGCAAACCCCAAGCAAACAACCCTCAAAAAGTGACCCCCAGCTCCTCACCATCTTCTCCCACCAAACTTTCATCCTAAAAGGGAAAATACTTGCAGCCCCAGTCTGATTCAGGCCGCACTCCTGCTTCTGCCACCTCCCATTTATAAAACAGGGGGGGAAAGGGTGGAAAAAAGCACTAACATCATTTAAAACAAATCCCCAGCTCCCAAATAATTTTCAGTTGAAAAAAAGAAGCCTTAACAGGCACTTGTGAATTTTTAAAACCGCCCCAGTCTGCAGAAAATTAACCCAACCTTTAAAAAACACATCTTGCAGCTCTTACCATAACCTGATGGCCAGTCTGGTGGCTGCATGGACCTCTCAGGATACCACAGGGAAAGCTGGGGGAAAACCAGCCCTCTGCTCCACTCTGCACCCAGGGAGAGAGAAGCCCTGGGATTTCACGAGAACTGAGAATAATTGGGGTAATAAGGCACCAGTAATTAACCTCATCCTTCTCTCCCAACACAAGGCACTGGAAACTGGAATTGCCCCAGACAACTTACAGTCAAGATGAAGTAAAAACTCAGGCGGATCTGCATGGAGAGGAGGGTGGGAGATACAGGTACTGAGGCATGGTCCCACCACAGGGAAACATGGGCAGGATGTGACTCCCCAGCTCCAGCTGCTCCCCAGTGCCATGCATGTCATATTGAGTCCCATTAGATCTTCTCTGGTTTGGTGGTCTGGGACTCTGTCACCAGCCTTTTCCCTCCACCAAACCAATTACCTGTAATGTCACTCAGACACGGTGCAGGATCACAGGAGCTCAGCCAACAAGCCAGGTCAGTCCTCATGCAAGGCACAGTGCCAATGGGACAGGAGGGAAGCCCTTCTTCCAATGAAGGTGGGGTGGTGTCATGACCAGGGAAATCCATTGTCCATGTGGGACATTGTAGCACCTGATGTACCTTGGGTGGGAAGGGTCCCTGGGCTCACACCATGTCTCCTGCTCAACACCACAAAGCAAGAGCTAACAGAGTGAAAGATCCTGTGGTGGCACCACCAGGATGAGATGGAGACTAGAGGGAGGGGGAGAAAGACACATTTCACATCATGACCCACCTCCCTTTCCCCCACCAGCACATACAAGACAACCCAAATACACACCCATGTCCAGACAAGGGGAAAGTTGGAAGTATCAAGCCCAGCTCTATCCCATCCAGATCCAGCAGTTTGTCTCCAGCCACACTCTAAACCAGATGCTTCAGATGAAGACGCCAGGAGCTGCCTTAATAAGTGCTTATGCAATCCTTGAGCAGAGGAAATGTCTTTACCAAGCCCCAGCCATTAGCAATGGGCTGATGCCCTGGAGCAGGACATTTTAGAGCCCTTGTAAATTTACTTCAGGAGTGGAAAGTGGACTGAGGAGGGAAAGGTGCTGGTTTTCATCAGGGACCTGTGTCAGACGGGAACTCTTCGCTACTTCTCTCCATGAGCAGAGAGTTGCCACCAGGGGTCAGGTCCCAGACCCTGACCCAAGCCAGAAGATAGTAAGGGACAGTGGGAGGATGGTGGCACTCTCTGCCCAGGGGTCAGCACCAGGTCCTGGGACCTTACGGGTCAGCATTGGTCTCAGCAGGGAACTTGACAGGAGAAAGAAGAGGATATAGGGCAGAAGCATCACTCCTGCTTTAGTGCAAAAGTTTCTTCTGGATTAAGAGAGCTCAACTGGGGAGCAACAGGACCAGTTCTCCATGTGCATGGGGTCACCTGGGCTGTCTGTCAGAACTCAAGGATTCATTTTCTCCGTTTTCTCCACATCCATGACAGGTAACAATCTAAACAGAAATTCCCTTTATGGCAGGTAAAGCTTCCTTCCACTGATTTCCATGGCAATCAGATGGGGGAACAACCCAGTTTGAAGCAAGACTTGGGGCACCCACACCAGCCTGGAGTAACGATTTTGGAGCCAGCAGTGACCTGCGAGGCGACGTTACCTTCCCTTGGCCTATTGTTTGCATCCAAACCTAATTGCAAATAGACATGAGCCCTCTTTGGGGAGCGACTGCTCCGCTCTGCTCTGTCAGCACAATGAGCCGTTGTTGATATGGCCGGAGCAATTTTCCAGGTTAATTTATGGCTGGGGC